TTTATAAACTGGTTTTCAAAAGTCTGGGATGTCCCGAATTTTTGCATTTATTTTGTTTATTATTTTTGGGAATTGGTTTTTGATTATAAATTTCGATTATTTTTTCCAAGTAAAGAAGAGAAAAAGGGTTTCAAAAAATATTTTTTACTTGAAGAATTTTTGAGCATCAAAATTTATTTCTGTAAAATTTGAAATAACGGGATTTTTGTTTCTGTAATACATGTAACTGATCCTAAAAGTGCATTTTATTATAAAAAGCTGATGTAGTAAATGACAAAAATTTACGAAGTCAAGCCTTCATTTATAATAAATAATACAAATAACAAGCGTGAAAGGATCGCGTAATAATAATATACTGATGGTGTTTTCACAACAATAACTAGAATATCAAAACCCAAAATTATTAAATGTTTGCTCTTATTTATTTTTTCTTTATAACTCGTTGTTTCATTTTCTTTTGTCAAGATAAGAAAAAGGCAAAAGCAAAAAGACTGTTTAAATGATAGTGTGCTTAATTGTGTTGTCACAACAATAATAATAAAAATCAAAAGTCAGAATAATAAAATATTAGCTAGAAATTATTTTTTTTTGTTTTTTTACAACTCCTTATTTTTTTCATATCAATTATTATCAAGAAAAAAACAAATATAAAACAAAAAAAACAAACTCGTATTTTTACATCAATCAATCCTTTATTTTTTTGCACCCTTTAAGTTTCTAGCACCCATTAAATACTCTATCTATACAAAAGAAAGCGTTTTAGTTTCTTGAAAAAACAGTTTTAATTCTTTATAATTCAGTTTGTTTCTTTGTCTTTTTTTTAAAAATTCCATTTTCAGCTTTTTAAATTCCATTCATTCTTTTTATATTTTTACTTGTATTTTTAACAATTCTTTTTATTTCATCAATTTCCCACATTTTCAGTACAATTACACTCATTTTTTGTCGTTTCTTTCTATTTCACAAACTTTCTCAAGTACATTTTTAAAGTTTCTTGTTTCTCAATTTTATTTCTTTTCTTTTCAAATAATCGAAAAAGATCCAATTACAACAAAGACATTATATTTAAACAAAATAATAAATACATATTCATATGACTATTGAATAAATTGATTCCAGAGAACCAGTTGTACGATCTCGGTACAGAGAAAACTCTCCCGAACCAAGGGAAGGCACTGTCGCTAATGTGGAACCAATACATCCATTTATACCACCTCTCCAACTTACACACCAAAGAGGAAGATAAAGAACAAGCACCAGAATGACTACTGAAAAGCGACCATATGTGAGGGTCTTCCTTAGTGCTAAAAGAAAATTAATATCCGAATTTAGAATACACTGAGAACGAGAGCCCAACATATTATTCAACTACTGTTGTGGTCAATATTGTTAACGTCAACAAACTACTTAGTCTACTCAGGAAAGGCAAATCAATTCTTCCAGAGAATCATTTTAAAAAAAGTCTAGAGTTGAGCCATTTCAAAAATTGGTCACAAAAGTTTATGAATATGACCCAACACTATCAATAACCAAAGTCAGAAGTGTGGCTCGAACTGCAATGGAAATAGAAAACACCAGAAGTATTGAACAAGTCGAAGACATCAATGAAGAAACAATTTCGGTAATTTTAAATAACACGGCGAATATACCACAAAGAAAAGAAAAAGAAACCCGCATTTTAAATGATTTCATTCAACACGCCCTCCCCTCCACTTTAGCTTTTCTGCGATTTATCAGAGGAGACTCAGGAGATGAAAACACCAAAACAATCACAGTTCTAAGCTTCAAAATAGAAACGAGGAGAGGTGTTGTTGCTAATACAGAGGAGAACAAAACAAAACGAATTGAGGCAATTGAAAGATTATATGGCTATATTAGGGAAGGCTACAGTTGAGTCTGTGTTGACGAAACTTCATGGAGTGTGTGTTGCACTTCGAAGTATGGGTGGAGTGAGAGAGACAAAAAATGCTTCATAACGAAAGATAAAGGAGGGCTAAGACTGTCCAGTGTAAGTGCCATCAACATTCAAGGTACTTATTATTGTAATATTGTGGCTGGAAAAAACGACAAAGAAATGTTTCGGGCTTATCTGAAGAAACTCATCCATCACTATGATCAACTTAACATCATGGTCATGTTTTGGATGGACAACTGCAGCATTCATTAGGATTTGGAAGGATTGTTAGAGGGGACACAACACACGATTGTTTTTAATGCAGCATATAGCCGGAGTTAAATCCAATTGAAAACGTTTTTTGGATTTTGGAAAGCGAGATTTGAGAGGGATATACGACTGTGGTCTTCTCTTGAAGAACTTCTTAACAAAATATCACTTTCGTTTCAGATTATACTCCCAAATGAAGTAATTGGAACAATGGAACGCTGCAGGACAGAAATATGGAGTAAAGCTTTCGCCAGAGATAATCTTTAATTGACTCATTCGGTCGTAATTTTTTGAAAAGAAAAGAAATAAAATTGAGAAACAAGAAACTTTAAAAATGTACTTGAGAAAGTTTGTGAAATAGAAAGAAACGACAAAAAATGAGTGTAATTGTACTGAAAATGTGGGAAATTGATGAAATAAAAAGAATTGTTAAAAATACAAGTAAAAATATAAAAAGAATGAATGGAATTTAAAAAGCTGAAAATGGAATTTTTAAAAAAAAGACAAAGAAACAAACTGAATTATAAA